ACATGGGCCAGTGAGCTGCGCCCAAGCTGAGCTGCCGCTGAGCTGCCAACAGGTGGCAGGATGGCTCAGCTGGTGAGAGCACATGCTCCTAACAAGGTTCGAGATGGTGGGTTACGCCTGCCTGCAACTAAAGACTGAATTTGGCACCCTAAGCTGAGCTGCCGCCTGGGTGGCTCAGGGGATAGAGCGCGCACTCTTAACAAGGCTGCTGGTTCAATTCCCACATGGGACGGTGGCTACACCCACCCGCAGCTAACTGAACATAGCTGAGTGGCGTGACTGGACTTGGAGCTGAGTTAGCTGCGTCCTCCACAACTAAGATTGAAGGACAACAACTTGGCTGTTCCCCTTCCCCAATTACCCAACACTGTTTCTCTTCCCCGATTCTCCAATAAAATCTTTAAAAAAAAAAAAAATTTAAATCAAGAAATATTTACTGAGTGTTTACTACATGTCAAGTAGTATTCTTCTAAGTGTTTGGCATAGAGCAGTAAGATAAAATTCTTCCCCTATAGAGCTTACATTATAGTGAAAAGAGATAAACAATAAACAAAATAAGTGAAATGTGAAGTAGCATAACAACAAAGAAAACAGACGGAGTACCAGGCGGTGGTGTGGGAGGAGGGGGAAAATGCTACAATTCTAAATAAGATGGTCACAGAAGGCGTCACTCATTGAGATGACACTTGGACAAATCCCTGAGGGAGGTCAGGAGCAGGCCATGTGCATATCTTAGGGAAAAGTGTTCCTGGAAGAGGGAACAGCATGATCAAAAGTCTTGAGCAGGGATGTGACTGGCATGACAAGGTCAGCAAGAAGAAATAAGGTCACCAAGGGAGCAGGTGGCCAGCTCATGGAGAACTTTGTACATCTTTGTGGCATTTACTCTAAATGAGACGGGAAGCCACTGAGTGAGAAGAGAGACATGATTTAACTTAAGATTTAAAAGGATCACTCTGGATACTCTGTTGAGAATATTCTGTAGGGGGCAACGGCAGAAGCAGAGAAACCATTTAGGAAGACCGATGGTTTCATGTGGGCAGGTACGAAAGGTGACTCTGGCAGCAGAAAGACAATCGGAGAAGACTGAAGGCAGGAAAACCAGGAACACAGTTTCTGCAGTAATGTGGGTGAAAAGGAATAAAGATCTAAACCAGGCTGGTGCAGTAGGAATGGAGACACAGAACAGGGCTGAACCACATGTAGAAGACAGAATTGACAGGACAGGAATGGAAGGAGACCAGAAGCATGGAGAAAGAGGTTTCTGACACAGTGACTATGGGTATCTGAGAGTGCCCTGCAGAAAGAAAGTTCAAAAAGAGGGGCTTTGGGGCCGGCCGAGTGGCGCGATGGTTAAGAACTGGCTTAGGACGCCAGAGGGCCCCGGTTCGGATCCCACATATGAGGGCCAGTGACACTGCCCTCCAC